GAAACCATTAAAAGGAGATACATGACCTATCTGTGGTAAATCTACGAACAACTTAAAAACATACAGACATATAAAACATGGAGATTGCATTATAATAAAAGAAAGTGCTTTTGGATGTTAAAAAAATTTATTTTATGTAATTTAACCTAACAAGTTTCTAATTTTTATATTTTAGTTTCTTTTATGAAAAACAAATAAAGAATACACGTGAAAAACAATACGTGTAATACTTACGTGGGTCATTTTTTTGCTGTTGATTGTCGAAACTTAACTCTGCTTTTTATACTAATGGTACTACTGCAATAAATAGTTTATTTAATTAAATAATGAACCCAAGAACGCTGAATAATAACACACAAAAAACTAGACAACATCCGATACCTATCATAATTTTCCTTTCTAACTTTGCAATAAGAGCTGTTAAAAATTCAGCTAAGCCTGTTGATGTGTTTCCTGTAGGAATTAAGTTTATATTGTAAGCGAAATACACAATTCTCTGTTCAGAAAACAATGTAATATAATATCATTTGATATATTAAAACTTTGGCTTTCTGTTGGTTATAAATTATATAGTATTCAAAATTAGAGAAAGCTATTGACAATTTGTGAAAGAAAAGATGTGACAGGTGGGCATGGCATGAGGGGCCTCATTTTTCTAGTTTATGCCTGTAACTCGAAAAGATGGAAGGCTATAAAAATATGCTTTGCATGAACCATAACAACATTATAATGAGTAAATAAATCAAAGAGGGAAAACATTGAGAGTAAAAGTCACAGTTCTCATATTAGGAGAGATTGAGAATTCTTTTTTTCAATACTTCCTTATGAAATTCAGAACTTAAAATAATATTAAAATTTAATTTATTAACTACATTTTGATGCCAAATATATTCTCATACATTGATAATAAAGTAGTTTAATTAAATTTTGAATGTAGTTTGTTTGTTTGTAATTAAGATCAGTGTATCATTAACCATTTTGCATCGGGTAGGTCAAAGTACATATGTCACAACCTTTTACAGGGGTACATTCAAAGCCCCTCGGTGGCACAGCAGTATGTCTGCGGACTTACAACGCTATAAAGTTAGTTTCAATATCCGTGGTGGGCAGAGCACAGATAGCCCGTTGTGTAACTTTATGGGGCTTTGAATGTACCCCTGTAAAAGGTTGTGACATATGTACTTTGACCTACCTGATGCAAAATGGTTAATGATACACTGATAGACCTCTCCAGCAAATGATTAAATGTAACTCATCTGGCTTGTTTATTAAGCCATTTTAACAAATAATAAACTAAAGAATTTTACCTTGAGAAGCACCAGTTCCTTCTCCAAGATTTCGGTCTCTGTGCAGGCTCCATCTGTTACATATGCAAATTCTGAAAGTTTGGGTGGATAAATTTCCTACATAAAAAAACAAAACTTCAGTAACTGTACATAAGAAGTTCACACTAAAATTGTTTGATCTATATGTATGTATATATAAAGCAGAGTGGTCTGCCTGTCTGGTATCTCGAGTTATGAGGAACTGGATAATCTACAACAGATAGAGTTTAACTGGATTTGATAGCCATCTTAACTTTACATCCTTAGAGGTGAAGATCAACAGAAACAAAAACGAAGCCAATGGCATAGAGAAGTGATGTTTAATGCAGCATATAACATATGCTTTAAATTAAAGTTTCAAAGTTCGAAACAATATCTTAGCCTGGAATTGGCAGGTACCTTTGCTAATTATTATTAAAATTACTAACTATAAATTCAGGCCTTTAAAACTTTTCTGAATCTTTTTCAGTCTGTTACTATTTGCCCTTTATAGGATAAAAAAAAGACAAATATTTTAAGCCCGTTTTTGGGCAACAAAAGTACTCAGCATGCCAGGAGAGGTTTGGGGACATGCTCCCACAAAAATGTTTTTAAGCTCTATGATACATTTTCCAGTCTCTTGCTTCATCTGACAGATATGATGCTAATTATTGTATTTTGGCACTTGCGTATAAAGTTAAAATCATAAATAATATTCAACGTTAAAATCACTCTCGAGGATGACGTTGCAACATCGATACATGTGGAGTCGTCAACTTTTTGGAGGCCTAAATAAAATGTTTTTAATTGTGTACCAATTTTAACACTGAATATTATTTATGATTTTAGATACGATGTTCTTATATTTCACGGTAAGTTAGCAAAATTGCATCGTTCATTTGTTAAAAATCTTTCGTGAAGCATAGTTCACAAGTTTCTTGCATAAAGCTTTTCCTCGTAAATGAACCTTTTCTTAAGAGAATTCTCCCAGTTTTGACTCCCAACATCAAATGCAGTTTTTATCTCTTTCTCCAACAGCTTCCACCTGGATTTGTTTTTATTCAAACCATCAACTTCTCCAACCCTTACTTCATTCTGCCACTATATAACCTTTATATATATATTTTTTTCAATTCATTCCATTTTTAAATTAAATTAACATGTAAGATTTGGAAAATGCAAATTAACTAAATTCGGACAAATAAAAAATGTTAGTAGTTATATAACAATTATATATAAAAATGTCATTGTGCAGAGCTGAAACACGAAGGAGATTTTTGCAAAAACTCAACTTGGATCATGTTTTCTTTTCAAGTCTTACTGGAATGGTAAAATAAGCAATAAAGTATAAGTTTAATAAAAAATGCCACAACTATAAAAAAGTTGCAAACCTAAAATAATTTTAAAACACTTATTTGGGAATTTAATCATCAAATTACTATATTTTTTCAACCGTTTAATACCAAAGAGGTTCACATATTACACCATGTTGAGTGAATTTACATTTTTTACCTGTTACATCAACAAAGTAATAAACTGTCAAAAAAAAAATTAAGCAAAATTATTGGGACTGAAATATCCATGGTTTTTTGTTTAGAATGTTTTCGTGACTTGTATGTTGTTTGATCCTATAATCAACAAACTTAAGGATCCACAAGCAATTTAATACATGAATAGTTTAGAAAAACAGGTCTTTATTGATAATTCTAGGGTTAAAGTACCTTTGTATCACTTACCTCTATTTTAGCCGCAACAAATAAGGCTGTTATTCCTAAAAGCTGAAGTTGTTGCTTCGGTACATTCTGTCGAGAGGCAAGGTAACGATCTACAAAATCTTGTGCTAAGTAAAATGTTTCCCTGTGGAGCCGATACACCTCGCAAACCTAAAAAAGAAAAAAAAAATTAAAAGTTTAAAGAAATATTCTAAACATTTAAAGTAACATGAAAATGCTCACCAATAATCAGCCTTTGTAATTTTTTAAAATCCAAGTGCATAAAATATTTAACATCGAGTTTTTGTCAATTCTTTTTTTTGTGAATATTAAATACTCTAATTCAATAACCAATAAATTAAAGGTTTGGATCCTTCTGATGAACTATTCCTCATGATTTCAAGGAAATGACAATATAAAAAAGTTTCAAGGAAATGCAAGTGTAACACTGCCCTTAAGTGTTTCAAAAAAATACTAACGAAACATTGTTCAATTACCTCCAATTAAGTGTGAAATATTAATTCAAAAAGCATCAGCAAAACACTGACAAGGACTTCCAATAGAAGTCAGTGAAACATTCTGTTATTAAGTTTCCAATCAACTTTAGATATACGAGTATTGTTAAACAAGTTCGTGTCTTAGTAGATCATTTCACACGAGACAGTTATTAATTAGTTTTTAACAGTCAAGTGATGGTTTTTCTTTTTCAAAGCAACAATTCCACGTATCAATGAATGTGCAACCAGACAGTCAATACTGCTACATCACTAACCTGAACTGGAAAAAATTACACTTCTGAGAAATGTAATAGTTACAGTAAAAAATAATTGCTTACAACTATGATTTCAAACACTTCTACCCAAGTCCTATACCATAACTAAACTTGGTAGATCGAAACGAGAAAACATTACTTGACTTATAGGGTCATTCTTAACTACTTACCTTTATGCAACAAATGTTTGCCTGGCTCATTTTTTACACTAACATTTTATGCAGTTTTCCTTCATAAGTCTTTTAAATTACTAACCGTGAAATTGAGGTCCAAAGTCTTTGTATCTTAACAGTTCGTGAAATATAAAGTGACTATCTGTTTTCTATCACTTACTATGTTCACAAATCTGGAAACAAAATCTCCGAGTTATGACAGATTTATGGTCACGTGTACAACTAGGATATCAAATGCTACTGACCTTTAACACAAACTAAAACCATAAAACTTGAAGAAGCTCCGCAAAATAATTTTGACCTTTAAACTTATCATGCCCTTCCTGTACAGCTATACCCCCCTCCCCAAAGTTTGACCAAACTCTTCCAAACATGCACATAAAATCCGACCACCACAAACCCATTGGTCATCAGTTTTATTACATACATAAGAAGATTATCCAAAACATTTGTAATACACAGATTATCCCCAACAAGGTTTCATGTAAGGTGTCAATAATGTGGTTATCGACTGGAAAAAGTTAAAAGTTGGTTAACTGAGAGAATAAAGTGATTGTATTTTCTTAGCATTTGAACATATGTACCGTAAAGAAGTTACTTTCATCGATATCCTGCGGAAAATTTACAACATTCGAGACACAGATCTGACTACAAAGATGCTAAAGAATAACAAAGTATAGAGGTATTAAAGTAATATCTGGTGGTTGAATTTTACACGAAGCTACTCGAGGGCTACCTGCACTATCTGTTCGTAATTTAGAAGTGACAGGCTAGAGTGAAGGTCAATATAACCCACTGCCAGCTCTTGAGCTACTCGCTGACCGACAAAGAGTGGGATTGGTCATCACATTATAATGCCCCGTGGTGGAAAAGGGCAGGTATGTTCGGTGCCAGAATCCTAACCCACAACTACCAGGTTGCATGTATAGTGCCCTAACCATCAGTAACGATCAAATCATACATATAAGCCACTACAATATAATTAAGCATACAGACATTAATCCATATTCTAGTTAACAGGTGTTAACCACCAGATTAATATTATACTTTTAACACAAATCTTTATCAACATCTGTCACATACAACTTACTTCTATTAACCAATCTAATAAAATTGCTCTCATTCGAGCATGTAGAGCAGGATGTCGATGTAGCATTTTGGGATCTCGAGGATAAACTGCATCTTTACAGACCATGAGTTCCCAGACCTCTTGGGGATCCGCCCAGGAAAAATGAGGCAGTGGTGAGACTCGTTTGCTACAAGCTTCTGGTGTAAGCATACATGTCAGTCCACGAAACTCACTTAGGGTAAGGGAAGTTAACATATCAGAAGGTGTTCGCTGACCATCGCGAATTGGTTCAGAACTGGATTTTCCAATTATTACCGATGTCGAACAACTGTCTTCTTGGCCAATGAGATCCCTGTGAACCTGAAGAAAAAATTTTAAACATTGTTACCTTATTTTCATTTCAACCAAATAATATCATCAGCATGAAGGAAAAATTTACAAATTTCAAGCTACTACAGAAATAACATTGGATGAAAACTCGCTTTATAAATTACTAAAAAAATTTGCCCAGTTTTTGTATCTTCTCAGCACCAACTTCTTTTTTCTTTATTTTATCAATATGCAGTGGCACATATTTATAACCCCAGCAAACTCATTTAAATAAACATCCAATTGTCCAATTTCAGATATATTTAATCAATTCTAGCTACTGCATTTCTTAAAAGTTTTTTTTCCCAGCAATATTAAATGAAACAGTAGCTGCTTAAAATCTGTTGAATGCAAAGATATAGTTATAACTGTTTCCCAATTTCATCTAAGCTCTAATATTAGACTGTTGAATGAACATCTTACTATTCCTAAAAGCTGCCAATCACGATACTTCTTGCTTGAATTATTTAAATCGTATCTTGCTTCTTTGCAGGAATCTATCTTAATTTCAATTCAAAAATATTTTATTTTTCACTATAATTGTGGGAATTTTACAGTTGTTCCACCTCAACTACCGACTTACTCAGTATCAACACCTTAACCACTGACTTACTCAGTATCAACACCTCAACCACTGACCTACTCAGTATCAACACCTCAACCACTGACCTACTCAGTATCAACACCTTAACTACTGACTTACTCAGTATCAACACCTTAACTACTGACTTACTCAGTATC